CGAACTCCCTGTTGATAACATTTCGTGGATAAAGAGTGGGCTCTTATCCCCACTCTTCATGTTTGGGAGCTTATCTTTTTGACCAATTGTGCGATCATGTTGCTGGATGGAGATTCTTTACTGCCCCGTCGATGCGTATAGGCGACTTTGTCTATCTATCCACCCAATCCGTTTTTGGCCCTTCATACAGCGATATGTTGAGGACATTAAACTTGATCAAGACAAACAGAAAAGAGAGCTCACTGCTATCGGACTTAGTTTCAGTGCTACAATGGGTGCTAGGGAATCGGTATTATCCACACCCGCAAGCAAGCATGCAAATTAGATCATGTTTTAATAGTGTACTATTGATGAACAATGAATAATTTTAATATCAAACGAATCACACATCAAATCTGATTCAAATGGTACATTAAACATGAAAATCCATCCATAAATGATTATTATTATTTATCTTTATTAGGGAGGCTTTCAGCCTTGGGCTGGTTCGCCTCCAATCCATAAATGACATATAAGACACATATAAATGAAATGTGTTATAAGCGTTTAAAATCTAACATGATTTCGTGACGCTGCTTCGATGAAATGGTACCCCATACCATCGAGAAAGAAGAAGTGCTACGTCAAAATTTGTAAATAAACTTCAATAGCAAAAAACTACAAGGGACAGCCATATAGGGTTGTACATAATGGTGATGTAGGACTACGTAGCCTTATTTAATAAATGTTATTTGTTAACTGCAGCAGGAGCTTGTGTTTTGTGTAGGAATCGAAATTTGAGCGGGGTTCTCTCTGTTTATACTCTATAGTATGACTATGAGTGCCCTGAAAAGAACCCTTTGATATGAATTTTAGTTGGGACATGTTCTTTTGGAAAATCTTGGTGGCCCTGAAAAAGGCCGATGGTAGCACAGGATTCAAGCCTTTGGAAGATGATGATGATGGGCCTCATAGCCTAGTCAGTAAAGGCACGGTATTACCAAGCCGGAGGCGGCGGGTTCGATTCCCGGTCCGGTCGAGGGAATCTTTCGGGTTGGAAATTTTCTCGACTTCCCTGGGCATAGAGTATCATATTGCTTGCCACACAATATACAAATTCATGCATTGGTATTGGCATCGAAAGCTCAACTGTGGAAGTGCATTTAGAACACTAAGTTGAGAGCACGCAATAAGCTTATATGCAGTAAGCAAAAAGCTTGAAATGCGAATAAGAAGAAGAAGAAGATGATGATGACGTGTAGGCAGCTGGATCAGCAAATCGGATCGGACAATCCCATATTCTTCGGTTCAATCATTGGGCACTCGCAAGAGTCTCGGCTCGTCTGCTGCTGGACAGAGGTTGAACTGGTGTCGTCGACAGATTGTAAGGCCGCAACGAGGGAAATCTCAACCATGCTACTATGAATGAGCACTCGGAAGAGTCTCGGCGCGGCTGCTGCTGGACACGGGTGCTTCGTAGAGTGTACTAGCTTTCAAGTTTGGTTAAAAGATTCCAACTATGGAGCACATTTTGTGTGGTCGTTGGGGGCGTGTGGTTCTGAATATGGCGATGAGTGAGCAAAATGTTACGCCTTTGTTACCACCCCATTCGCACACGCCCGAAGATCGGAGGCGAATGCCACTTCGACTTGTTCCGTCCTCTAACGACTCTCTGATGACAGTGTTGGGGAAGCAGCAATGCTACATCGACATGTTTCGTCTAGAAACAATTATCTGATGACTGTGTTGGGGAAGCAGCACATGCATGTACGTAATTGATGGATTTGTTAGTTATTTCGACGCTTTTGGACAACGCTTCACATTGACCAGTTTTCAATAGTTTCTTGTTGAAAATCAACAGTCGAAAGCATTGCTATCAATGCGCGGAAATATTTCTGATCGGTTGGTGATAAAATGATTGAGGGGCAGCTGAGTTATTAACGTTCAAAATCTTTCATAATTTCGTTACATGTTCCATTTTCGGTTTTCACAAAGTGTACTCTCATATAGAAATCACAGACGTAGTCCTACTTAAAAAAAAGTGCTTTATTTAACCCGTTAATGCCCATTTCGTTTTTGACCTCTGGAAAATGCGCGATTTTTCCAGAAGCAACCTAAGGATTATTGTCACATTAAGACACGATAGAGGAAAAATACTGATAAATAGAACAGTGGGCGTTAATGAGTTAATATGTTTAAACTCTTGTTCTCTTCTTGATGAGACTAATATAAGGTTGTCAAACCTCTTCAAAAACTTATTCGCGTGGGTGTAGACCAAAGCATGAATGTTATGGCTATGATTTTTTGAATTCAATATAGGGGAAATGGCTCTAATGTTGGCCTGTGGATCTTAAGATCGTTAAAAAAATAAAGAGAAAAGAAATATGGAAAACAAGCAAATGGAAATTTCTGGATAGACACTCTCTCTATCTTTCTCCTTCTCTCTTGCCCATTGCATCCAGAAAACTCTGGAGCAAGAAGATTTTTTGCCGCTGGTTGAAGTGGAATTGGTAAAGAAGGAGAAGGAGCAAAAAACGGACGCCAAATACATGTGAATCCTGTTCCACAAAATTGCGGATTTACAGTAGCACCCAACATTCTCTGGTTGGGTACTTCAAACTCTTAAAATTTCATGGCAAGCTTTGCCTCTCAATCATCCCTCCCAACTATTATTACTCAGCACAAAACGGCACCCTACTGAGAACGCGCATTCTGAGCATACTTGATCCTAAATTGATTTTAATTGCGACGAGTGCTCTCAAGCCTCCATCTCTTTCCTCGATATGAACATTCCGAGTTGGCTTTCAATGTCTTCATGGAGGGAAATGTTCGATCATTGTCTTTTTCGCTACATTCGGCATTCGGCAGCCTGTGTCAAAGAACAGTTTCCCTCAATTTTCCGTTTTTTAATTACTGTCCCAATACCGAGGAAAAGAAGTAGTACAATTTTCGTCCCGTCATCACATCCAGTAAATGAGAAAATTCATTCCGAGCCTAAGGATGTTTTTTTTTTCTGTGGATGATGGTCTACCGCAAATGTTAGAATTAGCTTCGGGCAAGTTAACGCTTTTTCCCCCTATTTTAAAGCTGTGTCTTAAATTTTCCACCATTTCAAATATATGTGTCCACAGCTTTAAAACCCCTTGCCTTGCAGAAGAACAATAAAGGATGTCATTATCATCTGAAGTGCTCATTGAAAGTGAAGCGGAATATGAGCAACAGCGAGACTTTCAACCCTTTCTATCATTCATCAAGTTCATTGTCATAGTCCTTCTCTTCCCACTTTTTTTTTGTTTGCATTGTGGAGGAGGAAATAAACTTATCATTTCACAATACGTCAACTCTCTTTGTTAACAGAAATTCATTAGACGGGATGGATGTATTATTTTTTGCATACGTTTCATTTACGTTGTTGATTGTTCATAAAAAACTTATTAAACCAAGTAATTTGTATTTAATTTTTTTTTTGTAATTATAGTCTCTTGGGTCATTCGTGACTTCTTCGGGATGATATTTGAACTCGTGACTTTGGCTTGAGTGGTATGGACGTTGACCACTATGCCGGGTCCGTCCCTTAAAAATAACTTTGATAATTTGGAAAAATAACACAAGTCTAGATAGAGCTGGAATTAGGGCCTAACAGCTTTTGTAAACAATGACTTTTCTCGATGATTTCTAGGAATTCAAGGCGCGCCAACGCAAACCAACATAACCATCGGCTAGGGGAAGACTTCCCCTACCTGATAGTGCCATTGATTTGCTTGGGCGAGCCTTGAGTTTCTAGAAATCATCGATAGAAGTCATTGTTTGCAAAAGCTGTTACGCCCTAATTCCAGCTCTATCTAGAAGTAAAAACATTTGTCTGCATAAATTTGTGCGAGCAAAATTTAAAGGTAAGAAAGATAAACAGCATAAGAAGGCCCAAAAAAGGATAATATAAAACTAAACAAGAAGCTTCCCGAACACACACTCGCACATAAACACACCCTCCCAAAGCATCAGCAGTCTGACCGAGTCCGAAGAGATCGTTGAGACCGAATGCCAGCAGGAATGAATGGAATCTACATTCTCATTAAATCAGACACAAAAGACGATAGCCGGCGATGCCGAAAAGTGAAGAGAGCAAAAAAATTGCACCGAAGATTTTTACTTTGTCGCCCCAAAGCATGTCATGACTTAGAAACAACGCAACGGTTAGGAATGTTGGAGAAGCCTTTCTCGCAAAATCGAAGCAGTCACATCATCATCATCATCATCATCGTGACGATCATCGTCGTGGTTGCCATGGCGGCCAGACTCGAAACAGTCGGACGGTGGTCGGTCAACAACCGCGGCGGTGGCAAAGTCGAGACCGATGAACCAAACCAGGAACACAGTGGTCGTCCTTTCACTTTATGGAGTTGTACGCTGCCGAACGACAAGGATCGTGGTCATTGCCTTTGGACCCTCTTCTTGATAATACGATGGTAATGGCAAATTCCTTTCACTTTTGATTATTTTTATTTTCGTGCCTTTGTCTTAGAAAATGTATCCGACGCATGACTCTGAAACTTTGGAAATGCAAATTGGAATTTTACACCGATGCTGACATACTTGATGCAAGTTTTTTTTAATGACGGACAATTCGGTTTGCAATTAAGAATATTTTGAGGGCACATTTAATTTCACAATCCGACCACTCGAGAATAATTAACCTGCGAACGGGATAACTTCCGCCGATAGACGAATCCCGCCAGGAAAGTATCAAAACACGAACGAATAAAGTAGGGTTTCAGCTCATTATCATAAACAAGCAAAAGGGGTGATCGGTAATTGTTCACCCCTTTTACTGGATTCTTTTGATTTTACCCACACAGCCATTCGCATGCCCTTCTAAAGACTTATACAACGAATCAGTCAATGGGGCAATCTGAACTTGACAATGAGTTACCTTTCATTCACCTCTAGGAAAACTGTTAAGACATAAAAAGAAAAATGTGACCCCATGGGTAATTGAATTTTTCTTTTCTTTCTCATTTCAGACGAGCTGCCGAAGATCGTCGCTTAATATTGATTCGTAAATTCAACGAAGCCGAAGATTGCTGATGTGATTGCAGAGGTGAGACACCATAGAGTAAACGACAAACAGAGAAAATGAAAACCTTTCATTTTCCGAGCAATTCAGATGTTGGATTACATTAAACATTTCCCAGATGATCTATTTCCATGAAATATTATGTTTAAAATAATTTTCAAATTGAAATGAACTGTTAACAAAATGTTATAAAATAAATATTTTGATTTTTAATAAACGAGAAGACGATCTCTAAACTATTCACAATTTGATTGCTTTCGGCATTTTCTATTTCGAACATGGAAGTCCTCTTCAATTTATGTCAAGACATTAACATTTCAGCACTAAACACTAATTATAGCAGCTTTTCAATGTTACCTGGCATTTGTGGAGTGCTATAGAGCATTTCTAGCTCAAATCGTTAAAAAAAATGTCAATTTTGTCTCGACCCCTTCTGATTTGAATGAAACATTGCTCACGTGTTTGCTGCTACTAATAGTTGCATTTTTCATTTAAATATGATTTTTTCCTCCAGAGTAACTTTTGAAAAGGGCGTATAAAAAAATGGATTATTTTTTTTTCAAAAAATCATAACTTGAAAATTATTGATCTGATCAAAATGGCATATGAGAAAAAATTTTAGGTAGTTAAATTATCTTTGCGGAAAAAAATACACTGAAAGAAAAACTTAGTAAATTAGTATTTAAAAAACGTAAAACGATGATTATCTCAAAACACCCCCCCTTCGATCTTCATAATTTTTTTTTTCAAGAAAATTGATGGAATATCCTTGAATTTCGTGAAAAGTGTATGCTGGTAACTTCCTTAAAAAGAAATCTATAATTTTTTAAATTTTTGTTGATTTTTACAAGTTGATGAAAATGCATATTTTTTTGAAAAATAATAACTTATTTGGATTCTACGCATAATTTTCGATAACTTTGCATATAGAAACTTTTTTCCTAAGTCCAGCCGTTCTCAAGTTAATGCGAATTAAAAAAATATAATTATAACAATTTTCAACATTTTAGGCCATTTTCAAATGTTCGTCGAGATGTCTAGCAACGAGATTTTATTTCATGATTGTATATTAAAAAACAAACAATTCATTCTCAGATATGGTAGCTGTCAGACTTACCCGTTTCTATCTAGAGGCAGCGGAAGAGAAGCACGTTGATGTGGTCAAATGAAAGATTTGTTGAGATAAAAAACAGTATAATGACGGCTTCGGCATGCCAGACTATTTTCGGCAACCCAAATTGAAACACTATTTTCACTGGATTTTCTTACGAAAACACTTCGCTGAATGCATGCAAACGATTCTTTATGCTCTCAGCTTCAATTTGACTATATTTTTACCACTGAGAAAAAGCAATCTAGCAAGGTTTTCTTGAAATGAAACACACGCACTACAAATTGTAGCTGATTTCGAGTTGCCGATAATAGAACAGCAGATTTACATGCAGTTCAAATGGAACGGTTGCCGAAGAAAAACTGGCTGCCGACAATACTCGCTCTCACTAGAGAAGATTGGAGCTTTGTAAAAGCGTTTCAAAACAGTTTTTGACAATTCTTTCGACTGAAATTGTTAGAGCAGCTGGCAGCAAAAGATTGTAAACAAACCAATACTGCATATGTGTGCGTTCCTTAGAGAAAAAGGCTATAGAAAGAAGGTCGCTGCTTAGGTTGCCGAGAATACGTAAATTCCCCTATTTATTATTTTATTTTACAACTCATATTATTTGAATACATTGAATAATTTGGGTGTATCGTTTGAATTAGAGAATATTTTTACTGCAATTTGGTTGTTTGAAACTGGAATATAGCAATGATATTTTCGAGTTCCAGGAATTGGTTTCACTTTCTTAAAAATTGGATCAAATTCCGTGTCAGCCTTTTGTATTCTTCCGTAGAAACATAACAAAATGACATTTTTGTTTGAAGATCTTCTTTACGACTATTTGCCCAGTCGTACAGTTGTTTGGGGTCCGTTATAGGGTGCTCGTGTTGCTTAGCTAAACTTGCTCTGGTTGCCATTCTCTTAAGGGTACCGCCAATCGCATCACAAGGACCTTTGCCGTGTGAAGTTGCAAAAAAATGCCATTCAATTTCTACATCTACATCTACATCTGACATAAAAATACACTTTTGGACTGTTATTTGCAACTTTAAAAATTCTAATAATTTTGAGATAAACAACTGAACTGCTACTGTGTCATGCTTTGAAATTGATTTAGGTAGAGGTTTACAACACTTGAAATTGTTATCCATCGTAAAAAACTACTTGCTTTTTAACTTGAAACGCTAAGAGAGATGAACTGAATGGAACAGGTGAAGATCGTCCCAATATATATATATATATATATATATATATATATGTAGCAGAATAATTACAATGTTGACATTATACCTATCTTCATTAGGTACAATTGATTATAGCAAACTTTTTTAGGTGTGAGTGTAAGAAGCCTCCACGGGGTGCTTTTTTTTATGTAGTTGTGATATCGCGGGATGAGCTCTTAAGGCACAATATGGTATACGTCAGAGAAGTACCTAGATAATTTACCTCAATTACAGGTTTAATAACATATTTGTTTACCTGTTTATGTTTTGAGCCTCTGTTATGACATACACAATTATATCCAGGTAAACAACTAATAGAGGACAGAAAAAAGGCACATGAGTGGGCTTGTTGATTATTTGGGTATATTTGAGAGTATTTACTTATAAACTTGTTTCTTTTCCGCTGCGTCTAAATAGAAACGGGTAAGTCTGACAGCTACCATATATGAGAATGAATTGTCTGTTTTTTAATATATATTCATGGAAAAACATCTCGTTGCTGGACATCACGACTAACATTTGAAAATGGCCCAAAATGTAGAAAATTATCATAATTATTTTTTTAAATTGCATTAACTTGAGAACGGCTGGACTTAGGAAAAAAGTTTCTAGATACAAAGTTTTTGAAAATTATGCGTAGAATCCAAATAAATTACTATTTTACTAAAAAATATGCAATTTCACCAACTTGTAAAAACCAACAAAAATTTCAAAAATTATAAAAAAATTTTTAAGAAAGTTACCAGCATATACTCTTTACCAAATATTAGGGCATTTTTTCAGTTTTCTTGAAAAAAAAAATTATGAAGATCGAAGGGGGGGTGTTTTGAGATAATCACCGTTTTACGTTTTTTAAATACTAATTTACTAAGTTTTTTTTTCAGTGTATTTTTTTCCGCAAAGATAATTTAACTACCTAAAACTTTTTCTCATATGCCATTTTGATCAGATCAATAATTTTCAAGTTATGATTTTTTGAAAAAAAAATAATCCATTTTTTTATACGCCCTTTTCAAAAGTTACTCTGGAGAAAAAAATCTAATTTAAATGAAAAATGCAACCATTAGTAGCAGCGAACACGTGAGAAATGTTTCATTCAAATCGGAAACACTCATGACCAACCGGTTTGCGTTTTGGGCTGGAAATGCTCTCCATTTATGATGGCTTAATAACCGAATCCATTGCCTCCTACTTTTTTTTTTGGGTATTCAATAATTCGTTTCAGTTATCACTTTTCCCAGCTTATCCCTTGTCTGCTTCTTCCAAAATGTGTTGGTAATTGTTCTTGTCAAACACGGAATCGTTCAACTGTCAACGTCCAATTTAGGTACGGATAATAAAGGATTTTTATGATTGTTGCACTTGTCGTCATGGTACACGGTCGTTCAATCTTACTCAGTTTTCATTTAAGCTGGGGTTACCCAGTTTTTATGAAAACTGAATAATATTTCGTTGAGAAAAAAAAATAGATAGCAATACAAATTTACTTAGCTACTGGGTAAGATTGAACGGTCGTGTATCGATATCTACCTGCTTAGTAAGAATGGTAGATACACTGCACCAAAATAACCTGCTGTTACTGAATGAAAACTTATTTGCTCGCGCCATTGAATGAAATTATTGTGCCTATATCAATCATATGCATTCTAGCTTAACACTCAAATTTACGATTCTTCAACATGCACAACAAAACTTTCTGCATCATTTCACATAAAGAAAGAGAGAAGGATTTGTAATTTTCATTTAATTTCACAACATTAATTGCTTATCCTTGACAATGCGTATTTCGTCCAAAATGTGCAGTTCAAATACTCGACTGAAGAAACTATCGCATCACTCCTAAATGTAATCTTTAGTAAGTGCGGGTAGTGCACTGTTCACCCGTTGATGTGTTCCAGGTAGTATAACCCATGGATGTCCGTTTCCTTGATCCTGTTGATTAAAGTTGAAGGCCGTCTCAGTCAACTCTTTCTCAAAAATGTGTACAACCCTGCTCTCCTTACGCTCCTACTGACATCCGAAAATTTTCATTGCAGGAATCCTTCTTTTTTTGGTGCAGCCTCCGATTGCTGGACTGTACATGATGGTAGAAGCGATTTGACAGTGATATGGATGCAGAATTCCGATTCTTGCTCGTTTGTTTGTAAAATTTCTAAATTGTTTAACTCTACTATACACCAAAAAATTGATGAATAATGTCTCCGTCGAATGACATATTGCATGCCATATTTCCAATTAATGGGCTTGAGAAGTATGCGTTTGAAAACACCACCCCATTTTCGTTACATGCCACATTTTAGATTTCGTAATGTGACCCCCAGTATAGTAAAGAAAGACGTAGTTCTACGTCAAAAAATCATCCTTCCCGGTTCTCGGTAAATTAGTTTGACTTTCAGAGAAACAGATTTTTGTACAGTCGAAAGTGGAAAGCAATTTCCAGGGGATTTCTTAAAATCTTTCCGTGGGAATTGGAAGACACTTAAAGGGGAGCACTTCTAGCATCGTTTTCTGGCTGTTGCCGCGGATATTATGGGGTTTCCAGGAACTCGGTTCAAGTTTCAGTTGGCTGCGGTGGTTTTTCTTCTCCTTCTATCCCTGAACAGATAGTACGAATAAGGGCGTCTATGTGATGTTTTGCTGTACCTGTTGTGGACATTAGTATATCGTTTTCCTTAAACTTGTTGAGGACGCCTTGTCTTGCATTAAAAGTTATCCCTTTAAAAAAACTGATCTTCACAACATAAAGGGCAGCATTACGGAGCATTAGATTTCAGCAAATTATTCGCAGTTCTATTCGTCCAACGCTCTCAGCTGGGTGAGAAATAGAAATACACTACAGCTGGAAGAAACTTCCAGAGAAAGTTAGAAAAACTTTTGGAGGAAGTTGAAAAAATCTTCCAGAAGGATGTTTCAAAAAATTTTAGTGTAAAATCAGAAAACCTTTCGAAGAAAAAAGTAGAAGGGTCTGTGCCTAGGGGCACGAACGGAAGCTTGACGTAGGACGGAACAAATGTGAATATCATTTAGTTCTTTTAATTGATCAATC